AATTGTACAAAAAATCGTAAAAATTAATATTATAATCTCATGAGTATAAATAGGGTAAGCTATTGTTATTCAATTGTATGGCATCAATGGATATAAAGTATATATTAAATCTATATATTACTTTTTTTTTGTGTATATACTTTCTACCATATTTCGATTACTTTGTATTTGTAGGCAGCAATAGTGCCAATATCTTACTAGGATACAAAACGCAAAATTCGGCTCTGAATTACGACGATTTGCGGTGAAATTGCAATAGCCGTCATTGAAAGCATATAATTATATTAGAAAAGTATTGAATAAGTTGTTACTTCGCCGAAGAACAATTTTAAGATGATACGAGATCCTCGTTGGTAAACCTGGATTCACGAAAGAATCTTTAAATGCGATCAAATAGAAAACTCAGGAGAAAGCATGTATTTTTGGCTGTGAGTTTAAATGGTCACTAGAAAGTTCATCTAGGTTACTCATTAATTAATAGTCAAAATGGGAAAGAACGTCCAAATTTGTTGAGTGGCGGAGAAAATAATTCGCTGAAACGAAGACAGGCTTTTTATCAGAAATATACATTTACTTCTCAGAAAAATTACCTAGCAAGTATTCAAACAATTTGTGCAATATGGATGACTATAATATTGCACATGATGTATTCAATAGTCATAAATCACAATTAGTTAATTGCATTATAACCTATTATATCAACATAAGACTGCACCATTTTACAAATGCGAAAAAGACTAAAAAATAAAAAAAATACACCAAAGTAATAGTTTCAAAATAAATAAATTTCCCATTGAAAAGGAAGAGAAATTTCTGCGCATTTTTTTTCCATTCACACTATTTAAATTTCAATAATGCATCAAAATCATTTTTATACGCACTCAATGGACTGCCGGTGAAGTTTAGAGAGAGAAGGTCCCTCTCGTAGTCTACCTCTATTAAGTTCCCACCGTTTTTAACGTAACGTAACGTAATTAAAACGGCGGGAACGTATTCCTCAAGCAAATATATTCTGAAAATCGATGGATGTAGATCATTCGGGCAATGACACTCTTATACTCGAATTTCCCGTCATTTTCTATTAAAAAAGGCTTGTATATAAAAAATATAAAATTCACGGTTCTGTCAAGGTACTTATTTTTTTAATTCACTCTTGATCCCCTTCTCAAACAATAGATTATGTTACGAAGTTACGTTTCATTAACTTGCATTTAAATCGCCCTTTTGTTTTGCGGTAAGTTCAAAGATTATATCACGCATACGATTGAGGTCTGTTAATTCATTTTGCAATTTTTTAATGGTTTCTTCTTTTTCAGCTACGACTTTTTGATACGTGTTGCTCTGCTTCATTAATTGTTCAATCTTTTGACGTAGAGTGGAAACGTTTTCATGGCAGGACACAATTTTCACTTCCAGAATTTCGATCTCCTATAAAAAATTATTAGTATCAAATACGAGTTAATGCATGAAAGAGATTTATGCAGCATGTCGAGTAAGAAATAAAGATATTAACTTATATGTACCCAATCGTAGAGCAACAATCTGCGTAGTATGAATTTTTCTACTTTCTATTTCGGCTTCTTGGAGTTTTGTTGTCACTGCTTTCTTTTCAGCTTGCGTGCCATCAAGATATTGTTGGGTGTAAAATAACAACTGATGTAGGCAGTTGGATTCGACAAGAATCTGAGCCAGCCTATGCCAGCATACTGGTCGAATGGTTATTCGTAGCTTCTAAGCTGAAGAAATTTATTTTACTGGTAGTTAAACAAATTTTGAACTATCAATAAATAAACATCGTTTATGACATCAACTTCATGTCAAACATCGTCAAATTTCTCACCATTAGGAAGCATTCTTTCCGTAAATAGTCATTGTTTTAGGTATTACTTGTCAGATATGTCGTTTCCTTTGTATCATATACAATTAATTCACTTTCTTTTCGATACCAATTTTAATATTGACACTTTGATATTGATGCACTGGTATTGATATTTTCTGATCTCAACTTCTCTTTTACTTTAACATATAACTCAATTTTCTTCTGATAACAGTTTAACATTTTAACACTTTCAACTTGATGTACTTGTAACTCGATACTTTCCACGTATTTATAATTATAATAATTTGTAGTGTACTTTCGACACCAGTTTTAATTTTCTTACGATACCATTTACAATTTGTGTTCGATACCAGTTTTAACATTCACACTTCCAGCTTGGAGTACTGGTAAATCGATACTGTCCTCATGTCTATGTTACAAATGATATTTAATTTTCTTTCGATACCAATTTTAACCAATTCTTTTACTTTTGCAAATAATTAAATCTTCCAATACCAGTTTTAACATCATTACTTTTACTTTTGCAAGTAATTAAAATTACCACCGATACCAGTTATAACATCAACTCTTTTACTTTTACAGATAATTATATTTTCTTCTGATACCAGTTTTAACATTAACACCTTTATAATTAAATTTTCTTCCGATACCAGTTATAACATTAACACTTTTATAATTAAATTTTCTTCCAATACCGGTTTTAACATTAACGCTGGTATTGGAAGAAAATTGAGATATCATCAAAGAAAAAAAATTGATGTTATAATTGGCATCAGTGGAAAATTTAAATATTTGCAAAAGTAAAAGAGTTAATGTTAAAACTGGTATCGGAAGAAAATTTAATGATAAAGGTGTTAATGTTAATGGTATCAGGAGAAAATGTAATTATTTGTAAAAAAAAAAAAAACGTGAGCAATCTCCCAACTCATCTCTGAGAATACATATATTTTTATAGTGATATTTCATGTGCATCGCATTCTTAGGGCCTTCGTAATCACGTGTTGTAGTTCCAAATAATTCGGTCCACCCAGCTTTGAGAAAAGTTTTATAAATATTTTGACGTTTTATGTATATAAAATGACAATTTTATAACACCCTAAAGCTTAATACGGAGCACTTTCTGTGATCAAAGAGAGACCCTCTGAAAAAAGGTCCTTCGAAGCTGTTTTACTACTATAACTTAAGACGATACATTAACCTTACTTTTTGTAGATTTTATACATTCAAGGTTTCTTATTCAAATATTATCATATCGACGATGTCTATAAATTAAGAAAGGTACAAAATGTGGTTCACTGTTAAAAAATATTTAAGTAAACATACTTATATATTTCTTTATGTTGTTAAACTTCGTAATTGTTAAGTACAGATTTCAAAAATCCTCTACAAACAATGTTTTAAATGATGAGAATGGAAATGAAAGCAATACAAAATGTGAACCAGTGTCCTCGGTGTTCAACTATACGTTAAACATATTTTATGCCGATAAGGTTAATTATTACAAAGAAAAAATTTAGTTGGTAGACTTAAATGAAACTATGTACAATGTTCAACTGATTTTTAATTTTATTCTTATAAAAATACAAAATATAAAAATGACATATAAAGTATTATTTCTTGAGCATACAATGTATATTTTTTTTTATACGTGAAACGAAATGAAAAACAACATAATATGTTTTGGTTCAACTCTTTTTATCAAAACATTTGGAAAGAATCGGTCTACGATACTTATGTAACTTACAAAGCAAAATTTCTTTTCCTGTCAAGAAAATTCACCTTTTTCTTGGTATACCATCGCTCTAATTACAGTGCATCGATAAATGCAGTTTTAAAACTCTAATGAGTGTGAATCAAACTTCAATGCATGCAATTTTGCATAAATGCAAGCAAAACGCTTTGATCTGTAGAAAAGCAAATAGCTATTATGGGCGACAGAAAAAATGTTGAGTAAAAATTGTGCTTTGCTGCTAAATAGCATTAAAAAAAAATGCTTCGATTGGTTTAAAGGATACACATTAGTCGTCAATTGGTTGATAATAGAGATCGCCATCATAAATGACGCAGAAAACATTACAAGCCAATCGGTGCACTTTGCTGTATTCAATTTTGCAACAAAAACAAGTGAAAAGGGTCATTTTAGTATTCCTGACTTGTTAACGAAACATGGAATTACTTTTTCATATTGAAGCGAGAAGTCCTTATGTTACTTCATGGTGATAATATAACCTCAATACTGCAACCTGCATGAAGAATACAAAATAATCAGATATGCTTATTGCCTGTTGACATAATAATAAACAGTGTAGTTTTTGGCATGCAACTTTGAGCCAAGAGAACAAAGTAGTAAAAATATAAAGATATAATTTGAAAAATCTTGAATATCACTTTTAACGAACAGATTCTTTGTAGGGAAGTTTTTTATTAACTTTCTGAGCCAAAGCATTGCAGGCAATGTCTCTCAGATCCAAATATGTATTAAAATTCTTATGGATGATATCATTGAGTATGTCAGGGTATGTTAGTAGTTCTTTATATTTTGGAATTTTCATAACTATATCCAGATTCTCGACAATAAAGTCAATGGCCTGAGATTTCAACTCTTCTAAACTATGCCGACTGGCAAGGATGACGGTGTCCACCGAGTTTTCTACCGTCAAACCTTTCAACAAAGCATTTGAGCAGGTAGTCTTCAGCGTTTCAATGTCGTACTTGTCGGCTAGATATATTAATTCCAAAGCCCTGTCCATTATATCTTTGCTAGGCCCGAGGTACAAAAACTTGAGCATTAGCTCCACCAATGTAGGATCCTCCACGTCTGTTATATCAACCATATCTTTCTTTGCTTCTTCCATGTCACTCTCAAACATCTTCCGAAACACAATACTGTGTGTAGCGAGTATAGCCTTATGCGCAGGAAATTGCTTGTTCGAGACCTTTAATACAACGTCACTGAACTGTCCACTCGTCCACAAGTACATGAAAGGACTTTTATCGACCTTTAAATCATCCCAATCGGACCTTCTTTCTTTGCAATCAGAAATTATGTTTGTTAACAGGCAAAATTCACATTTGACCGTAATGGCATCGGAGTTACTATCGACCGTAAAAGGTAATAGTTGAACCTTGGTGATATTCCAAGAAAAACTGGAGATGCACATCCAAGCTTGTGAATCGACGCTTCTGGTCCAAGCAATTTTGCCATCCTGGCTGCGATACGAAAAAGTCATTCTATAAAATACACGTGGCAGTGCACTGTCGCATTTCTTAGTAGGAGAGTGACTGTCTTCTCCGTGCTTATGAACTGAGCAAACCGACTTGGACTCTTCAAGCGGTACTACATAAACCGACAACATCTCTTTGGAAGCGTCATAAAGTAGTTGGAAGTACCATTGAAAAGAGGAGTCCTCATCGGGGAACGAGGCTGATGTGACCTCACCTACAGTGTGCAATACTAAACTGAAGTCATCAATAGTGCAGACATGGGAATACAACTTTTTCTCGCATTTTACGCTGCCCACCGAGTCACTGTCGAGTCGGAAAGTGTCCATCTCTACTCCAGCATCTCATATATTTGAAATTGTGTTCGAAATTAGTAATAATATCGAAATTAACTCTACTGCATACGGATTAAATAATCACAACTTACCGGCTAATTCGAATGCAAACTCTTCGACACAATTTTGTTTAGCGACTTTAGCGGCTTTATAAAAGAAAAGGTTAAAAGGCTGCCAGATAAAGAGGGTATTGAATAATGCAGATAAGTTAACCGTTAAATTCCCCAATTAGAAACAATAAACACCGGTATCTATGAGTACACTGGACTCCATCGATGGCTTGCACCTGGTCCGCACTGCCCTCTCCGGCCGCGCAGCGTACTAGCGGCGGGAGCAGCGCGGAATTCGAATCGCTCGAGGGGCAAAATGGATTTCCTAAAGAAAATAAATATTTATAAACAAAAACAATTAATGAAAATTATTTTAGTATTACTGTGGAGCGTCCCTGACCCACCTAACGTAGTTTTTGTTAAATAATAACTTACAGAATTTCATAAAAAATATAATAGAACATGTTCTATTAAATGTTAACAAGTTTCTTAGTGATTCAATTNCAGCTAATAAGTTACCTAACCTTATTAACTGCAAAATTTACAGTAATATTAGATCACTTTTTCTTAAATAACAGTTTCTGAATTTCATTCAATTTAAATATATGGCGGGAAATTTGCTAGTTCATACTTCCGGTACTATTGATCCAGAGGTCGCTGCAAACACTAGTCTCGAAGAATAACATGCGAGTGTCAGCTCCCTGCTGGGCTTCTATCAGCTTCTATGGGACTTCTGAATTCTTTGTCAGTAGAGACCAGTAGAGACGAAGCAAGACGAAGTGACGAAAGAAACTAAAGATCAGTCAGAGAAAAGAGAAGACTGCAATCAAGAAACAAAACAAGAATTATAACAATTAAAGAAGCAAAGCGGAGGAATCGTGGTACTGGGCCGAAATCCAATATACGAAAGAAGAAGAAAAAGAAGAACGCAACAAACCTATGAACTCTATGAGCTTTTTGTTTACAGAGCAACTAGAGTTACATAACCTTAAAATGGTTACGAAATGCATTGTTTGCAATACTATTCATAATAAAAATTATAGCGCATCTTTTCATTCGTAAGCAAAGGTTTATTTAATATAATGTAGTGTAAGAATGTTTTGTCTAACAATTAAGTTGAGTAATTTGAATTATAGCTGCCAATGAGTATTATTAGTATAGACAATGTGTATATTCTGTAGAATACACATGAATACGTATGTACAGAATAATTGAGCAGTATCAATGTTTCAGATTTCCGCAAGATAAAATAAGAAGAGAATTGTGGAAGGCTGCTTGTAACATCGAAGGTTCGACTGAATCAATGAAGATCTGTTCAAGACACTTTACCTTAGATAGCTTTTATGAAACAGGACGTGGAACTAGGGTTTTAAATTCATTAGCAATTCCCACTTTATTTTTATCCGAAGGGGAACAATATTTTGACAGGTATGTTTTTCACATTTGAATTTGATCCATGATCTTAGTTGAGAACTGAATTTGAGCAAAGAGTATAAGGTATTTAAGAATGCTTATTACATCAAATAATATTGTAATTCAATTGTTTGTTTAGATTACGAGCTGAATCATTACAATCAATGATTTCATCTGAATCCAGTGATAGTAGCGAAATTGAAATTAAAAAGTCATCATCTATTGAGGAACTCAGAGACCATAATACACTGGAGACTAGTGAAGTTCGTCATACGGAAGTAATGGATACCAAAGATATAGATCCTTCAGCCTATTTTGAAGAAGACAGTATTACCGAAGAGAAAGTATTTACACCCATGTATTACCCAGAAGTTTCATCTGAAGATCATTTGGAACCTACTTCGTTTCAGTAATAACAAATTTTCAACTGTAAAAATACAAGTTTTCAAGTTTCAAATGAATAATTAATTATAAAATGTATTATGCTTTTCTTTAGAAACGCTGACGTAACTACATCTGTGTTGACACAAACTGGTACTCCAAAACGAGATGACAACATTTGGCATCCTGCAAGAGTCAGTGATTGCAAACTAGAGCATTTTTCAACTCCCCGAAGGGCACATCAATGTTTCCAGCTAGCTGTGAGTAAATTGCGTGAATATGAATGGAAGTTGGCATCTTCCCAAAAGCAGGTAAAAAGACTACAAACGAAGGTCCATACATTGCAACATCTTTTAGCTAAATTACAGAAAAAAAAGTAAATATCTGAAAATTATGTACGCTTGTTATTGATATGTATTTAATAATTATTCATTAAGTAATGATAGACAGTTTTGTACGTATTTATAAATTATTTAAAATTTTGATGATTAAGACGTATGAAAATATTAAATAAACAGAAGAAGGTAGGTTGAGTAGAAAGTAAAAAATGAAAATCATATTTGTCACCAGGGTACTACAGGGTTCTGAAGAAATAATACAGATGTCATTGGTTAATGAGTAACGCGCAAGCGCAAAATTAGTTCTTCACTTCCGTCTACTAGGTCAGATGGCGCTGCAAACACCATTTAATTTCTCCGATTAGAGCGTTACCCCACTGAAGCCCAGATCCTATGTTAGCGCTTGATGCTCTAAAAGATGGCTAAGAAACCAGAAGTGGGGGTAAAAGAGATCGCACGTGTTATCCAACTTTATCTCACGTACGGGAAGAAGAGAGACGCATATAGAAAGGCGAGTATTGGGTGTAAGAGAAAGAAAGAATGCAATCACTATATATCGCCATAAGATTAAGAGAGATGGANCGTGAGACTCTGCAAACCGCTGGAGTGGTGAGCGCCCTTAACGTACCATGTCCCTACACTCAGCATCATCGACAACAATTGCTGTACCCGCCTACCTGGCGTCGAGAAAATCGAAACCACTAATACTAACGTAGACCTATCTGACTTAAGATACGCCTCTAAGAAGCTCGACGAATTCGACGAAATTATTACCAACAGGATGAAGGAACCCTTCTTGATCACCCACACCATGTGATCGTCACGAGACACAGTCACATATAACTCCAGACGAGAAGCTGTTGCCATTACTTCCGATGACTCCGATGGATCTGGAACGTCCGAACTACCCCCACCTGCAAAGCGAACAGTCGGATACCACCGAAGGTGTACAACACCCTTATAGATTTGTACTAACCTCTTGTGTGAAATCAGATTGACTGGGAAGTATTCCTAAGTGTTACGTTTTAATTTGATTATTTGTGTAGATTTAGAATGTACTACTTAGTCCTTACTTCGTGTTTCTTACCATAGACGATTATAGTTGTCACTCGAATATTGTATTACAGGTCATAGCATAGACAGTCCTCGCTATCATAATTGTTTTGGACTTAAGCACCTTAACATTGAAATTACCGTTTTCAATCTAAACGGGGGAGGTGTTCGATGACGACAATTTGTGAGTCACTCGGACCCAAACTTTCCCTTCCTAAAAACCACGAGCCCCTTTTCTGCAAAAACTATCGGGTAAGTCCCTGGACCTTCAGAACCTTGCAATGACCCTTACTATGACACTTACTCAACGTTTTTGCTGCCATTCATCTTCATTTACGGCCGAGATTTCCACTTTTACAATCTTGTTTTCCGAAATAGTTTCCCACTGCTCTAGATCCTTAGAAATTCTCATCTTCGTAGTTTCATCAATTTTTCTGTAATACTATTGGCCATGCCCATCTTTAGTTACCACCCTAACGGCGGACTCAGGGTATATTTAAGACGCTGCGAGCTACAGACCGACACGCTTCGACACTCTCACTTCTGCGAAATTCATCGTCTCTCCGACCATCCGAACACTGATCTGTAAACTCGGAGGAATAAAAGTGTCTAACGCCTGGAATCCAACATGTATTTAAAATGCAAGTAAACAATTTAATTTCATTAGTTTTTGACAATGTGGCTATTTCGAGTTACGCGTGTTGTTTAACCTTTTCCAGTGTTGATTCAGGTGATAGAACAAGTATCTTTTTGATCGATTCTTTTCTAATATTCTCCTTTCTCTGGAAGTATTTAATTTCAAATGGAAATAGATTCAAAATCTATTTAAAATTGGAAATCCATAATGGTTTATTGTTCTTAGTTCAAATACGAAGTGGAAATGGGGTTTTACGTTTTGGATACCTATTTCGAATGAATTCAATTCCTAAGAGTTACTCCGATTTGCGTTTATAAACAACTCGGATAAAAAAACTCTTTCTTATGTTTACGGGTGCTCATTTACATGCTTATTTAATGATTTACAGGTGTCCATTTATTCGAGGAATACGAAGAATGGTGTAGAACGTAAATATATAAGAGGCATGAAATCACGATTTCGTTTCTATGTCCGATAGTTGATGCTTCGTAAATTTTCCGACGGTGTTTCACTGTATATATATTTAGAAACTATTTCTTTTAAGCTAAGATAATATTCTAACTTCGGTTCAGTGAATGGAACAATTGAATCACTAAGAAACTTGTTAACATTTAATAGAACATGTTCTATTATATTCTTTATAAAATTCTGTAAATTATTATTTTACAAAAACTACGTTAGGTGGGTCAGGGACGCTCCACAGTAATACTAAAATAATTTTCATTAATTGTTTTTGTTTATAAATATTTATTTTCTTTAGGAAATCCATTCTGCCCCTCGAGCGATTCGAATTCCGCGCTGCTCCCGCCGCTGGTACGCTGCGCGGCCGGAGAGGGCACTGCGGACCAGGAGGCAACCATCGACGGGAGTTCAGTGTAACGCTCTTCTGTCAAGACACCAGGTGACACGGCGGGCAAATTCAAACGCGCTCTCGCGCTCCTCGATACGCAATATCTCCTGTTCTACAGGGATCAAGTGCGAAACCATGCGCGTAATCGTCGATGGCAATAGTTGCAGCGGAAATAATGAGATGACCATTTTAATTCATAAATACATGCAGGGGTTAACGAATCGGTTATCTTATCAATTAAATAATTAATTTAATGGCGTATTCACGTTTTTTACAAGTATTTTTGTATTCATGAAGAACCATTTGTCGCATAAAGTGGAAGAATTGAATGATTCCAAATTAAGAGCGGCGGGCATTATTCGGGATATTATTTCAAACGTCTTGATACGGAATCTCATTGCGCCGTATTTCAGAGCAATTCGGCTACTTGAAAAGATTTAACAATTAATAACGCGGTACTCCTTTGATATTTAGTTCGTGGAATTACGCTGACGATTCACAAGGACCCGATTTTCTAACCGAGGTCCTCGGTTAAAGGCATAATCGCGAAGGAGGAGCGCCGGAAACCCATCCGAAGTCCGGCCCGGCCGAACGCCGGCGATTCATGGGTCCGCGGGGCGGGGAGGCGTGACGCACACTGTCTGTCCTTCATTTTCCGTTCTCGAGAGCGTGCGTCCGAGAGAGATGGCCGTTTTGATTCGCCATCCCATTCCCCGGTTTGAGACAGACATATGAATCGCCGGTATCCCGAAGTGACAGGAATGGCTTACCGGTGGGGGAGAGGGGATCCTGCCTCTCTGCCCCGACACGCTCGCGTCCACGTGGTTCATGGCTCGCCGATGTCTTGCCCGCGCTCGTTCTTCAGCCTAGATTGTCACTCTTCGAGCCTTCCCGCCGCATGATTGCACCAATCAGGACGAAGAGCGAGGGTTCTCAATCGTCCTCCTTCATTCTCCGTTATGATACGTGTTATAGGAATGAATAATTTCGTGCTATGCTCGAATGTTAGTCCGTCCGGGCGGAGTAATAAATAATGCGGCGAAATTTTCAAAGAAATATATTGTGTGCGCGTGTATGTAGTTATACGCATGGGAAATCTTCTTTCGGATACATGAAATAACGAAACGTATTACATTTATTTATTTATTTTTTATTTTCGTTTATCCAATTGCGCGAGAATATAATAGATATGTATAGAACGTATGCGCGTTGTATCCCACGTCCGCAAATTGAGATAATGCAAGTTTTACTATTTCAACTGATGGAATAAAGATTAATTAACGGAATTTGTTATATTACGAGTACTGTTTAAACTTTAATGCAAAGGGTTTGCCAGCTGATTCACTAATAAATTGATAAACCTTTGTCAATTCGAACTTGAACGTATAATTTTTACGTTCCGGTAGGCGGTTACGGAATGAAATTTATAAAATATATGAAATTCGTTACAGAATCAACTTTTATTACGTTTCCTATAATTTATTTTATTTACAAACATCAAATTTCTTATAAACATTCACTATAGCCTTCTCTCCGATTTAAACTTGCCGCTGCTGCATTTCGTGGTACCCGACCCCACCACCTGGCGGCGCCATATACAGGAGGAAGGCATTCTTGTCCGCCAGTGTACATTCTACTTACCAAATTACATATATCTATATATGTACTGCAACGCGTTTTCTTGTACCCGGGGCGCGCTGGCAAACGGGGGGAAGGATCGGGGTCCGCAGGTGGATCGCCTCTCCGCGAGATCGGCCGGAGGGAATTTGCCCGACACCCGCAGGGCCGTTTTTTATTTGTATCAGGGCGCCAGGCGCGAGAAGCGCGCCGCGGCCCGCGGATTCCCGGCAAGGGCATGGCCGACGTCGCGAGGCGAAAAACGGCCCCGATCACCGGCTACTCAGCCCCGTGGAAGTCCTTCCGACTTTCCACGGCACGGTAGAGGCGGGGGGGTCGAGGTCCCTATAACGTGAAGGGTACTGGGAGGACAGACCGTAAAAAGAAAGAACACGATAACCAAATATTTAGTGAGACGGCACGGTAGTTCTTTATTCGCGATCATAATTTGGAAACATCCGATACGGTACGCAAGACATCAAACTTCTGGATCCCGCCGGCACGCTACTTTAAGACGGGAACCTCATGGTTCCACGGGACGGGCGGCCACGCCAGCCCTCCAGGGCACAACGCCCGCTCGGACTCCGCTCGGTCCACGGCCCGCCAATTCCGGCTCCGGGAGCGACGAGTCCTACTCAAAAGCTCGGTCCGCGGCCCGCCAATTCCGGCTCCGGGAGCGAGGATTCATAATCAAAAGCCGCGGGATCACACTCACGGGACATACATATTTCGCACGAGAATTCCCCGCGACGAATCACCGATTTACGAATTACGAGACCTCCGGCGCACGCGGCCGAAAAGTGCCGGACGATGGGTCGCGTGTCGAGGAGGATACAAATCACACAATTTTGAGCGGAAACGAATTTTGACTAAACCCCATCGTGGGTTTGCTCACCAAGTCAGTGGCAATCCAACCACGGGACGAGAGCAGGGCGTCGGCGGCCACGGGAGAAGAGCGGTTATCGGTAGTACCGG